AATACGATCGCACATCGAAATTCATCACACGCAATCAACAAGATAATCACATCTGTTCGATTCCAAATACTTGTCCCGTAATGTGGATAGTGTTGAAAGTTTTGTGAATATTCTATCTTCGAAGTTCAAGAAAATGTTACTATCAATGAAGTAGTCTTTGTCGTCCTGAGTCAGTATAATTCTGTTCATTTGTTGTCAGTTTCCCTGTCGATAATTATACTTAAACTCTTTAACCTGAAATGCACTCTCTTGATTATTTTCGTAGAATTGTGTTCTAGTCAAACTTCGTCTGATTCTTGTCAAGCTGCATCAACAACTAATGTGACGTGTCTTTGGTGTTCAAAAGCTTCTAAGTGCAGTAATGGTCAAGACGTATACACTGCACTTTGGCAACAAAAGAAATGTAATGTAAGTACTTACGACTGTGAATAGGTTATTGATTCTAATATTTGTGTCTTTTTCAATCGGCAGGAGATCCGTTTACTAAGAATGAGTGTAGATTTTTGCTGAATGAATTCACTGTGCAGTCTGTCTACATCGTATCTTAAACACGTATACGTTTGTCTAATAAAACAGGGAGCAGTGAAAAGAAGAGCTGTTTCATGCAAATACTTGAACAGTGAAATGTTTAAGTCAACGTTGTATTCAGAGATTCCCGAAATAACTTTTTGATATTTCTATTTAAGGATGTTCTTTTTAGGACCAATCCAGGTTTGACAACTAATTGTCTGCGTTTTCACAATATTGCCAACTATGCATGCTTGTTCATATTTGTATTGTATTTCACTGTCACGGTCACGATACACATCACGTAACAAATTCGAGTCATCAGTCAATGCTTTCAGCCTGTTTGTTGAACAGCCAGTAAGTATATTCTGTGGAAGGAACGTTTTAACATCCTGTATATGCTAATTTATATTCTAACTGCCGAAGTAGCTTCAAATGTGCATAGAGATAGCGTTGTGAACTGAATTAACTATCGACAGAAAATTATTTTTGTTGAACCAAACGTATTCTTATACCTTCCAGGAAAGCTCAGAAGACGAAAACATGACTACCGCTCCTTTCATTGAACGGAAAGAAATCGTTTCCAATGAAACGGGAAAGACGCTAAAACTCAGTGCAGGTGTGGCGAGAAAACGGTACATAAACGTTGCGTTACCGATTGTTATATCGGTTCTAATTTTGGGCTTCGCCTCAGTTGTTGGGATATTGTTATACAAAAAGAAAGCGAATGTGAGTTTCAGTCAGAAATTCGTTTTATTTTCAATGTTTGATCATCTAACTTTCTTATGTTCAGCTGAATAAGAGGATATTTTGCAGTCGAGCTGTGATACGCATAGGGTACATGAAACAAGACTTTTAAGCAGTGTTGAACGCCAAGCATTCAGTATAATGAAAGCTTCTTTCCTTCTAAGATGTATAGAGCGATCGACGGGAATCCTGTATTGTAGTTAAGTGTGACAATTACCGTTTTAGCCAAACAGAAATTGCAGTCTGATATTTTCGAGAGGATGAAAACATCCATGATAGTCCTGTTTGTATTAATTTGTTAGTAATAGATACGCCGCATACCAGAGAGACGTTATCATCCAATCTAAATAAACAAGTAATTTTCTGTAACCTGCGAGTTCATTTTCATATCTTTTCTTTCATTTTAGAAGCTGAACAAATTGTATCACTTCAGTCACATTCATCGACAGCTCAATTCAATTTTTCAATAAATCTCTCTGACTGGGTGCACTTCAAAGCCAACAAAAATTTGTCGGACATTTTCAATATATATTATTTATTGATTATATCATCTTAAAATTGAACGAAAACAATAAGTGCGGCGTGTTTAATATTATATTAGTTTTTCCACTGTCTTGTCTTCAGTGTGAATGTGTTATTTACTCTTGCATGGGTCAAAACCTAATTGATGTGACTCATTTGTGTGATATTTAATTTCTTGTAAGCCATTGTGTTTAGTTCTTTGCACACTTTTGTAAAACTGTCATTCATTCTGTTTGAATAATTATTATTCTGCATGCAGCTTTGTCTCCACAATTTATCTTGATGTGTTATTTTATAAATTTGCTTGTTAGGTGGAAATTGTTGCGTCATATTTATGTCGAGTGCAATCTGCACAAGTGTATGTTCATTGTGGTTGGAGGGCATCATTTGACAGTTTTCTCTTTGTCATTGTTTTCCATTAGTTTGTCCTAATGCTGTATCTGTACCATAGATGAATCTTCAAAAAATTCAAATGAATACGTTAGCAGGCAGAATAACACGAATTCAACATAATCAGCAAACGTCTGTCAACTATTGAAATTTTCAACATGATAGTATTATTCATTGGAAAAAATAACAGTAGGTGTAGTTAATATGTCATTGTTACTTCCAGTCAAGGAGTCATAATGAAGATGGCGTTTCCAGCGGTTAAACTGATATGAAAGAATTACATATAATGATTGCGAGATTAGTCATGGATAGACCTAAACTTGCCTTATGTAGCCTACACTCGTATCTACATGTACTTGAGAAAGCCGAAACACTGATAGAATAGAAAGAAGTGTTTTAGAACATGAGGCCAATATAAAACAAAATATTTAGGGCTAATCATGTTACTCAATTGTACTTTGTTGTTTCTTACATAATATTCTCATATATAAGCCAAACTTAATAATTTGAGTAAGCGTTCGCTTATTTTCAACCATTTTTACTTGAGAAGATTCAGCTTAGGTTTCTTTTTATTTTTACACTCATTACCAATAATAAAAGAAGACGGACTTCGCCAGCAACACAAAGAAATTCCGCATTTCAAGAAAACATACAATCTCTCAACTCACAATGCCGAAGCATTTGCTTTCATTTAAATATCATCATCACAAAATTACTTTTGTAAAGTTTAGCTTTCATACATCTCTAAACTGTTTGCGTAGGCTTTTGTCGGAAACACACGTAAATAACCAGAAAGTGAATTCCAATGAATTGAAAAAGAAACCAGAAGAAAAAAGATCATCTTGTGTACATAGGTGGGAATAATGTGTGGACGAATGACAAGACAACAAATCCTTCATACTTTACTGTCAACCAAGGTCATCAGATAGGTCTGTATGTAAAATACTATCTCACCTACCTAATATAATAATTAGTTTCATTTGAAAAACGAAACTGTTTAGTTCTAGTCAGTAAAAATGTGAACACAGCTGAAAGAAATCAATGATTATATTCAAGTTTTGTTTGATAAAACCGAGATAAGTCTGACTCTTTGAATTTACTTCTCTGAATGTGCACAGTGTTAGAAATACGAATGGAACAGACAGAGAAATTTATGTGGTAATATGTCTTTTCTTGATTCCATTTATTGAATAATTTTTGCGAGAGAGAATTCGCAGACAGATATTCAGGCACTGTAAACAAGTCTCTTAATGTTCTAGTGATTTCCGTTCAGACTGAAGGCCGTTATGTCATAATGTCACTCATCTGTTAATAGTCTCAATAAAATTGAGATAGAACATCACGCTGATGATAATATGAAATCGATAAATTATTTCTAATTCAATCTGTGAGGTTCCTGAAATTAATATTTTTGTCTAAACATATGAGACACGAACTCAATTTTTGTGTGAGTTTTCTTGAACTGATATGTTATCTAGACATTGACCGATGCCTCTTTTTGTCTATTGAACATGAGTATTTTTTTGATTCAATGAAAAACACGACTTTGGATTATGTGAAGTTGTGTTATTTTTTCTCTTGTTCAACGCACGCATAATGAACATTCTGATATATGGTTTGACGCAAGCGTGACGGACATTATAAAGGCATGTAATGTTGCGTGAGCGTTTGTGTGTGAACACGTTGAGGACGATGACCATTTTAATAATAGCGAGTAGTTTCGCCAATTTCTCAAAATTACTGTTTCATTCTTTCTGCTTATATCGTTCAGCAATTTTCACATATAAGAGGATGTTCTGGATTCATGAAGTGTCATTCGCGTTGTCTCCGGAATCGCCCTCAAAAGGTCACACTTTCTCAACTGCCGAATTCGTAATTCATTAGGCTTCATATAATGAACGACCCTTCATGTATGCATTCATCATTTCTTCTTATTCATTCTTTCAGCTCTGCGCTTTCTTAATCTGCTCTGTTCCATTTTGAAATGATGATATTTGTATGCTAATATGGTTTCTAATTTTTCCGCCTCAATTGAGTTTCTATATTTCTTTCGGAACTGCATCAGGTATAAAATGGTGATACCTAGTTAGGGCGACAGCCATTCTGATTTTGTTCTTCTGATGTTTGTGCAGTGTGCATTTTGATTGTGATTTGAAGCGCTCTTCTAGCATAGTAAGTCAATTCTATCATGAAGCATCCAAATATAATCTTTGACTGAATCTGATCTATTCAGAAGAGATAGAATAGCATTTATTTGTTGCTTCTGATCTGGTGGAATATTTTAGTGGTAACATTTGTTGTGTACATTTGTTTACATTTATATTTTTGATGAATATTAGAACGGTGGTTTTTTGAATCACTTGTTTTGGTTTCGCTCGCGCAAACAACTTGAATGTGGTTCCCCAGTCCAAATCTCGCATTGCATCCTACACTTACTACATTTTTATCCTGATCGATAACTGTAGCAATCACAGTAGCATTCGTAAGAGAGATTTTAAAATGAAAGAGATAAGTATTTTTTCTGTCAATCAATGTTTTGACTGTCTGCTTAGGTCATTGAGTTGAAAAATGCTATGATATGCAGTGAATTCGATTTCGGTGAAACAATTATATTATGTATATCTAATTGACTGCAAATTTTTAATCAACCTGTCAAGTTTCATCAGTGTATACCGACGAATGGTAACATGTGTATCCTGCTACGTTTTGACAGTAGTAAATACATCACTGTAATATATTAAGACAACAGCACTATTTCTTTATCTATATTTCCACTCAGCGTACAGTTCTGTCACAGCTTTCGCACAAACTGCCTATTATTTTCCGCCTGAATCATACTTCATACTTCATCGAATCTGTTAGGACCAGTTGGACATGGGGTTGGCGGCCCCATTCCGTTGAAATCTAACTTGCCAAAAAAAACGCTAACCAGAAAAAATAATTCAAACCATTTTAACTCTGCCCTGGGAGTTGGAAGAAGAATTATGACGTCTCGTGATGAAAGCCGAGTTCCCTCGGAAGTCACGGGGCCGATGCCTCTTCTGACAACCAGAGCAACCATTTTTTTAGGTACATGGAACGTTCGTACATTGTGGGAGACTGGAAGACTATTTCAAGTTGCGGCAGAAATGAAAAGATACAACCTCGAGGTGCTCGGCATCAGTGAAACACATTGGACACAGGTAGGACAACTGAGACTTGCTTCAGGGGAACTGCTGTTATACTCTGGTCATGAAGAGGAAAACGCTTCACATACACAAGGAGTTGCACTGATGCTGTCCAAACATGCACAAAAGGCACTGATAGGATGGGAATCTCATGGGCCGAGGATCATTAAAGCATCCTTCAAAACAAAGAAAGAGGACATTACAATGAACGTCATCCAATGTTATGCACCTACCAATGACTACAATGACGACGTTAAAGATCAATTCTACGAAAGGCTGCAGTCAATCGTCGAAAAATGTTCACCAAAGGATTTGACGATTCTTATGGGAGACCTGAATGCCAAGGTTGGAATGGACAACACTGGATATGAAGACATCATGGGACGACATGGACTGGGAGAAAGGAACGAAAACGGTGAGAGATTTGCAAACCTATGTGCCTTCAACAAACTGGTCATCGGTGGCACAATATTCCCGCACAAACGCATTCACAAAGCCACATGGATTTCACCGGATCACACTACTCAAAACCAAATTGACCATATCTGTATCAACAAAAAGTTCAGAAGGACCATGGAGGATGTGAGAACCAAGAGAGGAGCTGATATAGCTTCAGATCACCACTTGCTGATCGCCAAAATGAGATTGAAGCTAAAGAAGCACTGGACAACGGGGCAGACAACATCACAGAAGTTTAATACGGCCTTTCTTCGGGATACCGTAAAACTCAACGAATTCAAGATAGCCCTCACCAATAGGTTCCAGGCCTTTCAGGATCTACTCAATGGAGAGGACGCAACATTGGAGAACAATTGGAAAGGGATTAAGGAGGCAATCACTTCAACATGTCAGGAGGTCCTTGGTCGCAAGAAGCACCATCACAAGGAATGGATCTCTGTTGGTACTCTTGAAAAAATTGAAGAAAGGAGGAACAAGAAGGCAGCAGTGAATGTCAGCCGAACAACAGCAGTGAAAGTTAAGGCACAAGCTGAATACAAAGAAGCAAACAGGGAAGTGAAGAAGAGCATCAGAGCTGACAAACGAAAATATGTGGAAGATCTAGCAATGACGGCGGAAAAGGCTGCAAGAGAAGGAAACTTGAGACAATTGTACGAAACTACAAAGAAGCTCGCCGGAAACTATCGTAAACCAGAACGACCAGTGAAATGCAAGGAAGGGAAAATAATCAGCAACACTGACGAACAGCGAAATAGGTGGGTGGAGCACTTTAAGGAACTATTGAATCGACCAGCTCCACTGAACCCACCCAACATCGAAGCAGCATCCACGGACCTCCCAATTAATATTGGCGCACCCACGATTGAGGAGATCAGTATAGCCATCAGACAAATCAAGAACGGCAAAGCAGCAGGACCAGACAACATTCCAGCAGAGGCAATGAAAGCAGATGTGGAAGCAACTGCAAAAATATTTCACATTCTCTTCAAGAAGATTTGGGATGAGGAACAAGTACCATCAGATTGGAAAGAAGGATACCTCATCA